CTTCCTTCCTTCCTTCCTTCCTTCCTTCCTTCCTTCCTTCCTTCCTTCCTTCCTTCCTTCCTTCCTTCCTTCCTTCCTTCCTTCCTTCCTTCCTAAACAAACCAGGCGGTGGTGGCACATGCCTTTAATCCCAGCACTCAGAAGGCAGAAGCAAGTGGATCTCTTGAATTCTGAGTTTGAGGCCAGCTTGGTCTACAGAACGAGTTCAGGACAACCAGAGATACACACAGACCCTGTCTCAAAAAGACAAAAACAACAAAAGTAACAACAACAAAACCAAACAAATTGAATAACTGAAGAATGGAGAAATTTTGAGGCATCAGTGATGATGTCCATGTGCTGTTTTGTTTTCTCAGCCTATAATACACCCCCTTTTTGTTTTTTTATTTTTATTTTGTTTTTGGTTTTTCAAAACGGAGTTTCTCTGTGTAGTAACAGTCCTAGCTATCCTTGAACTCACAAAGATCTGCCTGCCCTGCCTCCCAAGTGCTGGGATTAAAGGCATGGCCACCACCACCCGACTATAATACCCTTCCTTAGAGGAATCCAAGATAAACCAGAAAACCTCAGCCAGCAGGGTAACCTTAGTTCTTACATAAAGGGTTACTCTATACATGTTCTGTGCTCTTCCCTGTCCCAATAAGGGTCTCATTTCCCTTCAAGTGTTTGTGGAGTATGTTATCATATGAGCCAGTTGGAGGCAGTCATGGTTTTACTCCTTGTCCTCTGGAACACGGTGAACCAATTCTTCCTTGTTTCTGTATTTGTAGTCTTCTAAATGATGTGCTTAAGGAGCAAGTCTTGTTCTTGTGGTGCTTGAGATTGAGTTCCAAGCCTCATGTACTGGGCAGCATTGAACCATTGAGCTGTATTCCCGACTCATGAACACAGTGGTCAGCATGTGGTGAGAAGTAGAAGTTCTTACGCTCCTTCCTGTCATGAGAATGTGTTTTATTCTAGGATGGAAGATTTGACAAACCCTGAGGACATCCGCACAAACATCAAGTGTGACCGAAAGGTGTCTCTTTATGGTTATTTACGAGGAGCCTACCTGAAAAATAACAGCCAGGTTCACATGCCAGGTATTCTCTTTTGTATTTGTTGAACTTTTGGGATGGTTTCGTTCCTCTGGAACATTGAAAAATTATCAAACAAGGCAGAAATATGATCTGGAGGTTTTAGAAATAACCCCGCTGTGAATCATCTGCCAGAGTGTTGAGTGGATGCAGATTTTGCTGGTCAGCAGGGGCTGCTGCCTGTGGTGGTTTCCGTGTCAAGTGCAAGCCTTCAGATGCCAGCAGTTGACACTTGTTTGTGAGTGCTTGGCTTCCTGGGTTCTGTCTTCCAGGCGTAGGAGATTTTGCTGTCAGCGATGTCAGTTTTCTCCCAGACCCCTGTGCTCTTCCGGAACAGCAAAAGAAGCGCTGTTTGAATGAGAAGGAGAAGCTGGTCTATGCGCCGCTCTCTGGAGTTGGGGGTGTGCTGTATGACAAGGATGCTGTCTATGTCGACCTCGGTGGGAGCCATGGCTTTCAGTCAATGGTAAGAAGGAGCCTCTTCTGAATTATTGTTTACAAATCTTTGTCAAATACTGTGTTCATCTTCTAGTTATTAAAGCTTTTTTTCTTTTAATCCAAGCTATGATAAAAAGAATTGATTATAAAAGATGTTTTTCATTGTAACAAACAGAAAATAAAAAATACTTTCGTACTCTTCAGATTTAAAGTTCCCATGGTTACCACCACTGCCATGCTCTTTTTCTTTCTAGAAAACTATAGTGTTTTCTAGAATACTCTTATTTTGGTTTGTCTGTCTTTCTTTCTTTCTTTCTTTTTTTCTTTCTTTCTTTCTTTCTTTCTTGTGTGTGGTGTGTGTGTGTGTGTGTGTGTGTGTGTGAGAGAGAGAGAGAGAGAGAGAGAGAGA